CCCCTCCATCAGCCCCTCACCAGCACCTAGAGCTACCCTGTGCTGGAGAGGCCCCCGAAGCCACTTGGTCAGCCCAGGGCAGAGGGAAGGGGGTGGGCTCTGGAGCTGGACAGAACAGGCCTTGAACCCAGCTCCACCCTTCTGAGATGGATGGCCTCATAAAGTCCAGGCTTGAATCTTGGGTCCTCACCTGGGCAGTGGCCACCATAACATCCTACATTGTCTTGGGGACTAGCGGTGACGACTGGAAAGTGCCCAGCTCAGGGTTGGCACATAGGTGAGGCTCCTCAGCCCAGAACGATTGTAACAGAGGGCCCCTCGCTTTACAGATAAGGAACTGGAGGCACGTGACTAGCCCCCGGCCATTTAGCCTAAAAGAGCAGGGCCCAGGGTTCCTGACCTCCAGGCCAGTCCTTCCTCCCGAACTAATGCCACCTTGTAACGATGAAAGTAAGTAAAGGCCCCTGGCTTCTGCACAGGCAGGGCCTGGGTGCTCAGGGACTCCGGGTGAGCAGTGGCGTGTGCGCTTCGTGACTGGGTGTCAGGGCCTCCCGCAGCCTGTGCAGGAGGGGAAGGCGCTTCTCGGGAGGCCCACAAATAGCAGGGATGGTGCGGGAAGCCTCTGAGGGGTGAGCGGCCTCAGACATGAGCTGAGGAAGCTGATGAGGGAGCACAGCTCTGGCGGGTCTGGGGTGAAGAAGCTCTGAGAGCACCTTTTCCTGCCTCGAAACGCGTTGGAGAGGGGATCTGAGAAACCGCACCAACCCCAACCGGCGGCCGGCTGGGCTGGGCTGGAGAGAGAGCCTCGGCCCTCTTCCCTACAGATTGGTGCCGTTACCTCTTCGGGTGCTTGGGGCTGGGGGCGCTCCTGCTGCTGGCTGTGGTCATCCTGTGCGCCTGCCTGTGTCGGCTCCATCGCAGAGGTGAGCCCCCTCGCCCCTCATGCACCCCGCAGTGGGGGCCCCCTGGGCACCACCCCTTTCCTGCTGCCTTCCCCATCCGTCCTGACAGGCCCTGAGGGAGTTGGGTGGGAGAGGAGAGAGGCTGTCAAAGAAGAGAGGCCAGGGCTCTGGCGGTGGGAAGGGGGGAGTGGGCAAGGGCCACCCAGGGTGGGAGCCCGGGAGGAGGGAGGAGGGCTGGGAGCCGCACAGAGCCAGGGCTGTGCTAAGCTGCTGCTTTTCTTCCAGTGAAGAGGCTGGAGAGGAGCTGGGTGAGTCTGGGAACAGGGAAGGGGAGGGCAAGAGAGCGCCAAGGGGGTGGGGGTGGCGGGGACAGGCCCACTGAGAGCTGGGGAGGGGTTGGGGCTAGGGGACAAGGAGAGAAAAAGCAGGAACATGAAAAGGCGGCCTGGGGGGGTGGGGAGAAGTTTCCCAGAGGCAAGGAGGTAAGAAAGATGGGAGGTGGGGGCAGAACTGCAGGGAGGGATCCGAGGATGGCTCCTCTCATGGCCCTTTCTGCCCTGGCCCAGGCCCAGCTCTCTAAGCAGGAGCTCCACTACGCATCTCTGCAGAGGCTGCCCATGCCCAGCAGTGAGGGACCTGACCCCTGGGGCAGAGAAGAGGAAGGCACCAAGGCAGACCCCAGCGCCGATTATGCCTGCATCGCCAATAAAAAACCCACCTGAGCACCCCAGATGCCTCCCTGGACCCAGGCAGGTGGTCAGGGTCATCCTGTTGTTCACCCAGTAAAGACTGTGGTCCCCCCACCTCTGTGTCTCAGTCCTCTCAGTCCAGCTCGACCCCCATTCAAAATGACCATCATCAAAACTCACATGGCTCCCCTCCCACCCACTCTGGGGTTGAGTAGAGATTTATTAGGTGAATAGGCTGGAGCTTCTCCAAGGGACAGAAAAGAGTATTTATGGCCTGGCAGGAAAGGGCAGTCCACAAATAGGAATAATTAGATCTGATAATCCCCATTTCTCAGGAGAACCGGGCTCAGCCTCCTGGGCCTGGGAAGCTCCCTCCTTGGGCACCACCCCACCACCCACCACTGCAGGCCAGACTCGGTGGGAGGAGTTAAGAGCGGGGGTCCCAGAGAGAGGCACACTGGACATCTCGAGAACGGAGAAGAAAGTCCAGGACACTCATAAGGAGGAGTTAGTTGTGGGGCAGAGAGGGATTTACTGGGGTCTTTTGAGGAAGGCCGGGGATCATTGGCATCTGGAATGACTCCTCAGCGGCCGTCCAAGGATTGGCAGTGTGTTCCCATGTGACAGTGGCCTGGTCAGAGAGAGAACAGGAGCCGCCCTGTGTCACCACCCCAAAGCTCTCCTTCTCGGTGTCCGTCCCTGCTTCTCCAGCCCTTCTACTGCCCCTCCCAACCCATCCACCATTGCCCGGCTCCTTCACTCACATTTGCCCTGGCAGTGGAGGGTGCTGCCCATGGCCGCAGACAGAAGGCTGAAGGCATAGAGTCCAGCCCAAAGGGGGAGGACTGTGCCGGCCCCTAGCTGAGGAGGTCCTGCATGGGGGTGTCGGAGAGGAAGGGGCTCACACAGGCTCAGGAGGGGCAGAGGGCAGGGAGCCTCAGGGGAGGATCCCTGACTCCCAGGGACATTGCGGAGGAGACATCGCCTCCGAGTGCCTCGCCTTTCTCCACCACCAGCCAAGTCCCATTTCCTGTCCCGACACCCAGGCCCAGTACCTCCACACTGCACACGTAGACGCCGGCGTCATGGCCTCGGGTGTCCCAGATGTACAGTTCAGCCTGGTGGTCACAGAGGAAGCGGGAAGAGGCAAGAGGGGCCAGGCGGCCCCTGAACTCTGGGTTCTCATTCCTCACCTCCTTCCCCGGAGTCACCTTGTCTCGGAACCACGTGACAGAGCCAATGGCCAGTCTCCCTCGGCCATCATTGAAGGAGCAGGACAGGAAGGCAGAGGACCCTTCCTGAGTATGAATTTCAGGGGGCTGGGACACCCAGAGAGCGCAGGATCCTGGGGGCAGAGAGAAGAGGAGAACCACCTCTCCAGTTACTCCAAAGAAAAAAGATAAGAGAGCTAGGAGTAGAATATCCCAGCTGTCTCCATGCATGGGTGCACAGGGACCAACACTGTGGGGCCTCATCAAACCCTTTCCTCTTTGCCAATCTAATTTCTTAACATTGCTTATTGGATCATTTTTCAAATTCTTTCCCATACCAACTCTCAACCTCGCCCTCTGCCATCTCCTCCAGCTGTGTTCACTACTAACTTGTGTAGCTGAAATTTAACCGGTCCCAGTGAAGCTGAAGGTCTGTAATGAATGTGGCAGCCTAGTTAACTACCATCACTAATTGTTTTATTCCGGTATTGTTTTAGTACCAACAGCATTCTATGGTAAGCCATCCTTGCTCTTGTTTTTTGTTAAAGAGCATGAACTAATTAAATCTCCAGGTGAAGGCATGGCTGTAATTGGTTGAGATTCCTATTTAACTCATCTGTATTGATGAATTAAACCAAATATTAAAATTCCTAATTAAGTTCTCTACCCGGGTAAATTTACTACTCATTCTATCTCAGTCGTTCTCAATCTTGAGGGTGTATGGAAATTACTTGCAGTGTTTGTTGAGACAGATTCCTGGGCCCACCCCCACAGTTTTTGATTCAGTAGGTCTGGAGTGGGCCTGAGAATTTGTCCCAGGTTCCCAGGAATCCACATTTTGAGAACTTCTGTGTTTAGTTGATGAAAATGCCTCACAGTTAAGATCTCTCAGCCCATTAAAAACAGTTTCACTAAGAAATTCATCTTAGATGTAATTGGGTCTCTCAAACTCCTAATTATACTAGGGCTGTCCAGAAAATATCCAGCCATTGTTAATATAATGAGAACCAGTACATGGCTGGATACTTTCCGGACAGCCCTTACATCTAGACCCTAGGGCCTCAATGTTCAGCCCCACCAACTGTGTGCCCTGGGGCATCTAGTCTAGCCTCCCCCATCTCCCTCCTCCCGGCCTCACACCCCTTGGGGTCCTGAGTGCATGCCTGTCACCTGGATGGGCCGTGATCAAGATGAGTGACAGCGTCCAGGCCATGTTGGAGATGTCCCAGTTGACAAGGGGGACTTGAGCGGCAAGGTCTGGGTGAAGGAGGAATGACCCACCTCTTGTGGCCAGGTCTTTGGTCACCAGATGGGAGTGGGGAGCTTCCGGTGACACATGGGACTCACACATCACTTGCCAAGGACCTCAACTGTCAGGGAGCTCAAGCATCAAATGCATGCCTCCCTGAGGAGAGAGGATCTGCCGATGCAGATGTCTGGGTGTCTGGGGGCAAAGGGGCCAGCTTGTGGGCAAGTTGCTGAAGTGTGTGAGGCAGGGAGGGAAGGGGGCTGAGATGGCTGCTAACCCAAGGGTGGGTGGGTGGAAGAGTGGGTGAGACCAGGATGTGGTTCCTTCCGAGGTTCGAGAAAACCAGCCCTTTACCCAGAATAAGCCTCCAGGAGCCCTTCTGGGCCCAGAAGCCAACCTACTTCCCCTCCGCATTGCTCACCAGTGCCCAGGCCCATGCCACCCCTTCCCTTCCTGGAGTCGGACCCTCCCGAAGCAGACCCTCCAGGGCTGCTCTAGAATTTCTGTAATGAGAGCATTAGGAGGAGGAAGCTGATTGATGGGAGTTGGGGTGGGGGTTACTACAGACTGTGTCTGGCAGCTCTATTTGCATAGCAATCACCCTGTTTTACTTTGATAGTGTTTTTTTTAAAACTTTTTTGTATTTTTTATTTTTTTAGAAACAGGGTCTCACTTTGTCACTCAGGCTGGAGTGCAGTGGCTTGATCATAGCTCACTGTAACCTCCAACTCCTGGGCTCAAGCAATTCTCCTGCCTCAGGGTCCTGAGTAGCTGGGACTACAGGCTGGCCAGGCTGTACTCTGACGGTGTTGGCTCCGGTGGTTTGGCAGAGGAGTGAGTGCAGCTGACAGAGAAGTTCGGACCCATTCATATTCAGATCTCCATTAAAGGAATACACCCTAGCAGAGGTCAGCTTTATCTAGTGCCTTTCTTTCAGCAGGGACTTATCACCCATTGGAAATCCACTCATTTATATTTTATTCACCATTTAACTCACATTTATTGAGAACCTACAGAGCATGTGTTTTTACACACACAAATGAAAGACACAATGCATTATACGTAACTCCAAGGTTATACGGAGATATTTTGTGTTCAGTTCCAGACTACTGCAATAAAGTGAATATCACGATAAAGTGAGTCACAGATTTTTTTGGTTTCCCAGTACATATGAAAGTTATGTTTCAATCCCAGCACTTTGGGAGGCCCAGGCAGGAGGATCACTTGAGGTCAGGAGTTTAAGACCAGCCTGAGCAAGAGCAAGACTCTGTCTCTATAAAAAATAGAAAAATTATCCAGGCGCGATGGAATGCACCTATAATCTCAGCTATCAGGAGGTGGCTGAGGCAGGAGCATCACTGGAGCCCAGGAGTTTGAGGTTGCAGTGAGCTATGATGATGCCACTGCA